AAGCTTCGACATCATAATAGGGAAATGCTCCCTTGGACTCTGAAACTGAATTGCAAGCCTTACATCGCCTTATGCTTTACCTGTTTATGACTTTTTTTTTTTTTTTTTCTATAGAGAAGACTGTAAGGGTGATAAAGCTGGATGTTGAGCACTGGAGTTTCGCGTCATACAGTAGTAGCAGCATGCTTATAAGCCAGTTCTTGTGTTAAATTCAGTGGTGCACTCTGTTTCCTGAGTGGATGAAACTTGCTTCTCCCTTCTCCGTTTATGCCTTCGTTCTTGGAGGAAGAATTTCTGAAGGCTGCTGGCACCAGGGCCAGGTTAAAAAGGCCAAAGCTGTCTCTAGCAATACAGACACTGTGGTGGAGGGCCTCTGCGCACTGAGGGCTCCTCCATCTGGTGCATCTGGCTGACTGGATGGGTTTTTTCAGTTGAAAGCCCCAGCTCTAACCTTGGTTTACAAAAACTGGCAGTCACAGAGCTCAGCCAGTTCCCCCAGGGGCTGGATGTTTTGCTCTTTTGATGTCCAACTTCATTGCTCAGGAGCTGAAAAATTCTGAGTTTTCTTCTAGAGGCCTGATCTTATTCTAGGCAAGGTGCCTCTGCATAGAAGTACCTAGAGTGAGCAAATCTGTGCCTTAGAGGCGAAGTGGGACTTACTCAGGTCTTTAGACTTGCTTATGTACATATCTGGGTAGTTTTAGTGGTTTATCACCCTGGAGGGCCTGAACTGTCTCTGACCCTTCTTTAGAGAAGCAAGTTTTGACACTTACCTGCTGATTTATCTCCGTTTCCCTCACCCCTGCTCCCCTCCCTCTGCAGACCCGGGGACACAGGATGAAATGGTAGAAGGCAGATGTACTAGGCACTACGTGGAGCGTGGAGTGTCATTGACTGGTGCTCCTTGTTTGACTGAAACTGGCCTCCCTGCGAGGAACAGCGCCAGTGGAACGGGGACTGCTGGAGCTTGGGTATTGAACTGTTTCTCTATACAGATAAATAGTGAGGAGACTCGTCAATAAAGCATTCCTTTGGGAGAAAATGGGGTGAATGTTCTTGTCTCGTTCTATCTAACAGTGCTGAAGTCTGCCTGTAGGTGCGTGTCATGAACGTGTCAGGCAAATACCAACTGCCTGCAGCAGCTTGAGGCGGAACTGAGAGATTCTATTCTGTCCCTCTGGCTTGTTTGCACTGGATGCTTTCTCGTGAAGGGATGTACTAATATTTGCAGCCTGATGTTTCCTTTTCAAGATGCCAACCACTGGCTGGTTCCTGAGACAGACCTCAGTCCCGAGCCCACGTTCATCCTCCGGGTACCGTCAGGCTGCTCCCTTCACCGCCGGTGCCGACGTGCCTCCAGCTTCCTCACGCCGCTCGCCTGAGCTCGGAGCGTGGGACCCCAGCGGTAACCTTGGCGGGGTGGGGGGGGGCTGAGGCTGGAGAAACCAACGTGGAAAAGCAGCAGCTGTGGTGCTGGCTCAGATTTACAGCGCGATACCTCAGGGAATCGGCTTCTTGGAAGCTCTGGCAGTCGCTACCGATTTGAACAGCAGGGTGCAGGGGGAGCAGTGGGTGTATGACGAGTAGGGAGCTGCTCTTAAATTTAAAAGGGCAGCAGTGAGCAGGCAAATAGGTTGTGAGAGAGGCCAGCAGAGCTCTGTAGCCGCTTGGCGTGCTGCGTTTGCAGAGAGAGGGTGCCTGGCTAGGTTTGAAATGGCTGGTGGTGAGGGATTGGTTTTGGTTTTGTGAGGTTTTGGGGTTTTGTTTATTTGTTTGAAGACTGGGGTGGTTTTTTGGGGGGGTTTGTATGTTCGTTTTATTTTTATTTTTTTTTTTTTTCCTCCTACTTCCATAGATAAAACTACATCTCTGTAACTGGGTCTAAGAGCAAAGGGGTTACACTACCCAACCTCACAGGAGAGATGCTGCAGGAAGTGCTGGGGCTGCGAGCTCCCCTGTGAGAGCCCCAGGGGCGGGGATGCTTTTCCACCCCCCCAGTCCCTTCCAGCGAGGGATCTCGGGTGTTTTGAAGGAAAGTTAATTAAGCCTTCCCTTTGTGGTTACAGGCTTGACAGTGTTTTTGTCACTTCCCGGTTTCTGAGTGTGTTCCTGGCAGCTCTCGTGGGCGCGAAGCCCCGGTTTCCTTCGGGGCTGGGCTGTGGACTGCAGCGTCCTGTGCAAAGGACAAGGAGGGATGCGACTTCCTTCCCTGCAAAAACTGGGGACCAGGAGCATACGAAGCCCTGGCAGCCTCGTGAGTACCCGCCTGCTCTGTTGTAACCAGGAGAAGTGGCTTTGACAGGAACATTCCTCTTCTGTTTGTTCCCTGCCAACAGCCTCGGTGGGCCAGAGCTGCTCAGGGGGGCTCGGGGGCAGCCCGATGTCCCCTGCTGCCTTGGAGCCTGGAGAAGGTTTGTCCTAGGGCTTTTTCACAGTCACTTCTCCCTCATTTTCCTGTTGGTTCCCTTAAATGAAATAGCCCAAGTATTAAATCTATGCTAACGAGTCCAGCATACAAGACCCCTCAGAGCTGGGATCTTCACAGCCAGCAACGGAGCCACCAACCAAAACAGCCTCTCCTCTTTCCCGCTCCTCTGGTTTTACCGCATGATTTTCCTTTTTTTCCTCATCCCTGAGGACTTGCTGGGCCTCCTCTGAGTGCTCCCATGTTTTGGGAGGGGTGTGGGGGGGTCCATGCTGAGCGGGTGTTATCGACGGGGGACGTAGTAGCTGACAAGAAGCTTTTCCTGCTCCGGTGCTGCCGTCTCCCTGGGAGGATGCTCATATCTCCCTGCACCTCCCGCTGCTGCGGTTCGGCTCTGCTGGGGATGCAGAGGGACGGGTGACACAGACGGCCCCTTCCCGACGTGTTTCCAAGCCGGGTGCTCATACAGCAGCATCTCTGCATGGCTGGGTCCTGCTGCCACCCTGGGCTGCTGTGGCAGTGGGCAGGGCTGGATGGGTTGGGGGGATAATTTAGGTCCGTAACTGGGCGAGCACCCAGCAAACAGGAGGGAGCTGAGATTCACCAGGGAAGGGAGAGCAGCAGGTGCTCCTGAGAAAGCCCGAAGCCACATTTTTAGAGTGTGATGACACATGAAGGAGACTCAGCAGTCGTCATCGTCCCCCGCCAGCAAGCACTCAGGGGCAGGGTCACCCTCCTGGATTGAAATGAAAACTTCCCCGAGGGACTTGGGATTTTTGTCTCCTGCCCGTGAGGGCGAGGATGGGAGTGCACATCCCAGCAAAGCACTGACCCCTCGCTCCTGCATCACTGGGAGTTTCCTAAACCCCAAAGCGTGAGGTGACACGTGGTGGCTGGGCAGCACAGTGTCCCCTGCCCTTGCTCTCGGTTTGTGCCATAATCGCCTGGCTGGGAAAGGAGAGTTTGGGAAAGGCCAGCACAGGGCACTGGGATACCCGAGCCATCAAAAGGAAATCTGAGTTACCTCAAAGGAGAGGGTGAGCACCAAGACAGGATGGCTCGGGCGGAGGAGGCTTCACTGGGAGCATGGAAGATGAGGGAATGCTGGATTGCTCCATCCCACAAAGTGGGAACAGGGAGATAAACAGCAAAATCAAAAAAGAACCGATTGCAAAAAGCTGGAAGGAACCACTTTTCCGTGCTGGCAGCACGTCCCGACCCTCAGCCAAACCGGCGGCAAGCGTTTTTTTTAAGGAATTTGACATTTATGCTCGGGAGAGGGGTTGCACAACCGCTCCAGCGGCTGGGAGCCTGCGCTCATCCCCCTGGGAAAGCAGCCCTGGGGCTGTGTCCCCGGTCAAGCAGGCAGCTTCCAGAGGCAAACGCTGGCCCAGGGCTCCTGGCCCAGGGAGTGCTGCGTCCCTGGGGGTGCAAGCAGCGGGGGCCGGCTCTGTGTGGGTGCTGGGGTGGGTTCAGCATCTCTTCTTGGGTGCAGACGCCATGCAAGGTGCAAGGTCAGTGCTGGGGAGCCCCTCGGGTAGCTGGGGTTTTGGAGGTGACCTCAGGGGGCATCGGTGCTGGACCTGGGCTGGGGACAGGGACTTGGCAGCCACCGAAGGAAGCCGGGGCTGGAGCGAGCGCGGGTGTCTGATTAATGGCAATGACTCCATTGGCAAATGGGATTAATTATCCTTCATTTCTTGAAAACCTGAGTCAGAGGCTGCAGATGGAAAAGGCTGTTAGAGCCATACAGGGAGGTCACAGCGGCGGGGATGGCTGGGGTGAGCTGTGGTGCCTGGGGAGCGTTCCTGCACCCGCACTGGGGTCACCCGCTCCGGGACACGCTGGGTGGGGGCAAGGGAAGCTTTCACCCGCCAGTGGGAAAAAAGCCGTGTTCCCCAGGAAGTGCCAGGAAACTTGAGAAACTGGGAAAAACTGAGTCTTGAGCTTGAAAAAAAAAAAAAAAAGTTTTCCTTTAGTTGTAAGCACTCATTTGCTCATTAAAAGGACCCAGCTCAGCACTATGCCCCCGGGCACGCAAGAGCCCGCGTGGGGGGTTGTGGAGATGGGTGCAGCACCCCAAGAAAAAGCGCCGAAGGTGCTGCGCAAACCTGATTTAAAGCCGCGGGTCGATGTGTGTGACGGCTGGGGGCTGAGCACCCTGGACACCCCCCGGAAAGGCAGCGAACCACCCCCCCCCCCCCAAATCTGCGCCCCAAAGGTGCTGTGCTGGCCCCGCCCCTTTGCACACTGAGCTCCGCCCCCCCGCGGCCCAGGCCCCGCCCCCGAATCAGCGCGGGAACTGCAGCGGGTGGGCAGTGCCACTCACCGCTCCCTGGTGGTCTAGTGGTTAGGATTCGGCGCTCTCACCGCCGCGGCCCGGGTTCGATTCCCGGTCAGGGAACATTGTGTCTTTTGCCCCGCTCTGCCTGTTTTTCGGCTTTTCCACCTCCCCCCCCCCCACTCACGACGTGGGTTCCTCCTCCCTTTTCCCCCCCCCCGCAGCGCTGCGCACCCACGGACACGCACCCCGCATGCCCGCGCCCGTCGGGGGTGGCGGCGCTGCGTGCCGGCGGTTGCGCAGGCGCGGTGCTGCCGCTCCCTCCCCCGCCCGCCGTCGGCGTCGCCGGGTCCCGCTCGGTGTCTGGCGGCGGCGGCGGCAGCAGCGGCTGAGGGAAACGCCGCCGGTAACCGGGGGCCGCTCGTACTCCGGGAGGAGCCGCCCGCACCGTGGGGCCGCCCCACTCCCCCCCCCCCCCCCCCCGCCCGCCCGCCCGGGGCTGCCCGGCCCCCGCACGCCCGCGGGGCGCAGGTGAGCGCGGTGGCGGGGCCGGGCCTCGCCGGGCCCGGCCCGCGGGTGGAGGCCAAGATGGAGCTGGGGCTGCTGGGCAGGGTGGGGGGGTGGCTGTGAGGGGAGGTTTTGGGGTGGAGGAGGGAGATGGAGGAAATTGGGGTGCCCCCAGGGAGGGGGGGGGGGGGGGGGGATGTTCCCGCCGGGGGACCGGGCGCCGTGTGCCCTCCCCGGGAAGCCCCTGCCATGGTGGGGGGGGGGGTGAGGGGGGTGGGAATCCCTGCTCCCCCCCCCCCCGCGCCTTCCACCCACTCGCGGGTTCCTCTGAGGGGCCTGCGTCCTCTGCCTCCGAGCGGTAAAGATTGAGGGGGAAGAAAACAAAAAACAAACCAAAAAAAAAAAAAAGGCCTGGAAAGGTGAATTCTAAATGAAAGTCATTCGTGTTCTGTGTGAGCCGTGATTCACGATGACTGTTTTTTTTCGCTGGAGGGATCTGGGGTGATTTTCGTTTCCCCTTCCTCACATTGTTCTGCTTAATTTAAAAAAAAAAAAAAATTGTAACTGCTCAGATTATGATGTGCTTAATGAATGACGTATTGGCAATGGGAAGTAAATCCAGCCTTTATAATGAGAAACTTGCAAAGGCAGCATAATTCTATTTATTTGTATCGTGTCTTCTGGTTCTCAAATTAAGAATTCCGGTCAGGTAATTCTGGTGATACGGACTGCAACTGGACGAAACAGAGACAGCGAATTCACTGATAACGCCTCACTCTTGCTTTTATGCTTATCAATATCTTGCTGTTATACGCATAGTGACACAAAGCCGTTGACTTTATTACTGGACTCTGTTACACTGATGGAGCCGTTTCTCCCTCAGAGAGCAAGGTGAAAGCTATCCGTATGACACAGAAAGGAAAGCCAAGCGTTTTTATCTTTTTCAGGTTTGTTTTTATTGGGGTATTAATTTTTGTGTGCTGTGAGACATAGCTGTAGAGCTGTGTATGTTTGATATTCTCTCTTCTGCGGTAAAGCTTAAAAAAAAAAAAAAAGGCATATGTTTGATACATCATCTTCCAGCAGTATGAAATAATATAGTTCTCCTAGCTTCTCTCTGCCTAATGTCCTCGTGCTGGCTTATCGTAAGGAATGGGAAATGTTATGTGCGTGTTTAAATACTGTCTTAGTTTGCTGCTATTGAAGCAGAAACTTGTAGGCCGCGTTCGCCCAGTGGCTGACCGGTGGTGTTTCACCCATTTCACTGGGTAAATTAAGCTATCAAAAGTATGCAAATCTGAAAGGGTTTCCTTTTGAAATGCGTCAGGATTGCACCTATTTAAATTCTTAAAGAGTAGCAGCCACCTTTAAGTGGAATTTATTCTTCTGACCACAATATCAGTAGAGGCTTTTTCAAGTTTGAAGGCATCTGTTGGTTTCAGGCTGCTTAGGATCAGTGTTTGCATTTTTGTTTGCTTTTGATAGAAAATGAGAGAGTCCTAATCTGACTAAGAGATCCTGAGAAACAGATGCCAAATTCATTTGCATTAATGAATTAGCTCTAATAATTCAAGTACGCTGTGCTCTGGGAGGGAGAAAAGAGGGGAAGCGAAAGCTGGAGTCGAGGAGAAATTGACTTTAATATATGGAGTGTAGGATGAAAAGAAGTTTATTTTTGCTGAGCAGCTTCCTGTGGTTTTCTCACAGTGCTCTAAGGACTTGAGAGAAAGTTGTCATGATGCTGGCCATGCAGAGTGCTTTGGGGATAACCCTGAGTTTGTAGATGAGATTTTCAGTCAAACAGCTTTTTATAAACATAAATAAATGCTTCTTTCCTTCCGTCCTTTGTTTCATCTTAGTGATTGTCCATGGCATTTAAATGAAAGGGGAGATGCTGCAACGTGGTTGTTTTCGTCCTAAATTTTCAATGTATTGTACTGATGAATTGCAGGTTGTAGGGTCAGCATGCTGGTGAAACCAAAGTAGAGACTTTCTGGCTTCACAGGTACCTGTGTGCTATATTTAACTCTCTTTTATCAGTGAATTCTGATAAAAGTAACGTAGTATGTTTTGTCTTGTAGTATAGACCTTATATTCACGTCGATTATTCCCAAGAAGTATAAACACTCTTTCAGTCTTCCCAGAACGCCAAGCAATCCGCCTCCTGGTCAGTTGGTGGTGTGCTTTATTTTACAGCTGGGTTGCAGTAAGTTGATGTGGTTTGTGGCTGAGGTGGCACAGCCATGGACCTGACCTCAGTTATGAAGTTCCCCAAGACAACTGGAGCCTGCCAGAGTCTCGTTTTGCAGCAGAAGATCAGAGCAGGGGTTGACATACAGCTGTGATACGGACAGGCTTTGCTTATCGTGCCGTATGAAGGCTTCCCTCAAAGTCAGCGGCGGTGTTGGGATCTTCATACTCCAGAAAAAATTGAGCAGTAGCAGAATATAGCTTAGGAACCTGACAGAGTGAAGGTTAATTCTGAGACTTTTGGCCTAATTTGCAGGTTATGCTGCTAGGGAGGTGGTAGTTGCCAGCAATGGTGCTGTTAATCATTGTATTTCTTCTCTTTGTGAGCTTCAAGAAGGATTTTTATCTGTGTTTAAACATTTTGATAGTGAATACTAATGGAAGCCTAACTGGGTTGCCTGAGAAATCATGTTTTGGTTAAATGTAAAAGTTGCTGATACTACTTTGTTGTTGTTGTTGTTAATTATAAATTCAGTTGCCAGAATATCCTGTCTGGAAAAGTGGGCACAATTTCAGACTGAGAGGTGGTTCTGCAAATCCTGTTTGTCTATTGAATGTCTTTACTTGTAATGACAATGTTGTAAGTGGCCTATGATAATTGCCTTCTTTCCCTCTTTTTTTTTTTTTTTTTTTTGACTGGTGTGCCGGTGTTTCCCTTTTTAAAGTATTGTTAATAGCCAGTTTGGGAAGCTGAGGGCTTGGCAGAACTTTCCTGCAAAGCTCATACATAGAACTGAGCTCTCGGGTATCCTCCGCAGAGCGTGCAAAATGGCATCTGCCGGCGTTTCCACTGCTCTGCCGTCAACCACATAAGCACGGTGATTAATTTAAGGTAATTTTAATACACTAACTGATTTCCTTTGCAGTTTGATCTCAAGCTGTGCAGGTCCTCTTCGTTTGGCTTTAAACCTCCAGGTTTACCTGCCCGGGTAGGAACCGAAGCGGCGCTGGAGAGGGATTGCCCCTGCGCGGGAGGACGCGGCCGCTCTGCCGCTCTCCAGGAGCCCGAGGAGCGGGGGGGTGTGCGGTTTGGCGAGTCGCTTGGTTCCCGTGAGGTGACCCACATTTGTGAGCAGATGGCACGGGGGGCTGCGGTGGGCCCGTCCGTGGTGTCGGGAAACCGTTGTGTGGCCGCCTGTGCCCTAAGACAGATGGGTCATGGCAAAATGCAGAGGGATGAGGAACATGGCTAACGCTGAGGACCAAAGCAAAGTGAAGCACTGTTTTTTTTTTTTTAACATGAAAAGGTTTGTTTTCCTTGTGCTCCAGTAACTGAAGTAATTTGAATTAAGCAGTATTGGTTTAGAAGTGTCCATGTAAATATTTTTTGCATGTTCAACTCTCTAGCTACGTGTCCCAGGCATCAGTTTGCTTCCATGCATTCAGGATGATTTGGTGACTGACTGGACATTTGCAAAAGAAAATACTTGGAGGATAAAAAGGAAGTTGAGGAGTGATCTTGGTGCACCTGGTCAGCGTACGCTATCAGCAGGTGCCAGTGTTTATAATCTCTCAGGAGTTGTTTGTGAATTTTTACCATTGTTTTAATGTATTTTTTTTTCTTCTTACCATTTTGTTACTTTGTCAACTACTATGTGTTGATGCTGGTTAGTTAACCAGTGACTGCTTTTAATCTTGAAAGACGGGAATTAGAACGGTGCTTTATCTTAAAATTTACTTAGAAATTCAGTTAAGGTATTTTTTTAATCAATAAAAACATACAAAGCACAGTTGTTAGAAAGTATGTGTTTTAGATTCAGAGGCACTTTGCTTCCTATTTCAGGCAGTGTAAACTGATATCAAAGAACTGCATTCCAGAGCAAACGTTCCTCAAAACATTGTTTAAATATTTTTAATGAAATGATAGTAGCTACTAAAAAACATAACAATTTTGTGTGTGTGCACAGAATAGCTAAATAATAATAATTATTAGTGTTAGATTGCAGGGGTTTTAGTCCATTGTTGATGTGTAAGTTTTTTCTTGGGAGAACGTGAATAAGATTGCTTTGGTACATGTTCAGATTTCTTATGTCCTGGCAACTTCTAATTGCACTTACCTTGTATCTGCACTGCACGAAAATGTGCCTTTTTAAAGTCCTTTTCTGCTGCCTTCAGTAATGCTGAAACACTTTCAGTGCCAGCACGTTGTAGGGCCAACTGTAAAATCTCAGTATGTTTTTCTTCCAGGTGCAGGTTTTTCATCCTCTTGTGCCTGTGTTGGTAGAAGAGAACTGAAGGCGTGTGGTGCCCAGTGGAGTGGTAGCTCCCGTGTAAACGGAATGAGTTTTCTAGGCCCAAGTTAACTTAAATTAGCAGCTGCTATCTCCTCTTTCATAATCTGCTCAAGGATTTTGTAATGAGAGTTTTTCAACGGAAAATTGTTGTTTGTTTTGTTTTTTTTTTTTAATTTCTTTTTAATATTCTTCAGTACCATGATCTAAACTTTGTTGGGTGAATGGTTGAGCAAACAGAAAAACCAGTGGCGTTTAGTCACCTCTTACCAAGGCACTGCTAATGAACCTTTTTTTTTTTTTGTGACATAAGTGTGCTTTCATTAACTGGTATTTTTGTGATGGTCTGATGTCTTCTGACAGATGAATGATGCAAGTAAATAGTTCTGTAGATCTCATTGCAATGATGGACAGTATCTAACACCAGTGGGGAGAAGTTGATAGAAAAGCACAAACCAGAGAGCCAGTCCACACCTACCTCCCCAGCCTTCTGGGCTTCCTCTTCCCTCCGAGAATATATCTGTCTGTATCTATATATCTGTC